TGTTCTATCGTTGCTATTCTTAACCGCGACTATAATACGAATACTTCGTTGACGTTTGCATGATGTGCGATGACTAAAACGCCTATTAAGTTATTCTCTCGTATATCTGGTATAAAAGTTAGGTTAGTTAATAGTAGCACACGGTTAATTCGATAAACGTCCGATAAACATTAAAAATCAACTGTATTAATCGTTCAGTCAAAAAGGTATAACGATCTTAATCGTTCGATAGCCGATTATCGTGCTCAAATTATTGTTCGATCAAATTTGGCAACGTTGAAAAAAAAAAATATCGAGTGTTCTCAATCGTGTTACCAAAAATAACGTTCTCAATCGTAGTTTACCGTTTTTTTCGGTTTCGGTTTCGTTTTGGTTTTTCAAAATAATATTGTTAAGGTTTCGGTTTTAATTATAAATTTTAAAAATATGAAATTGAGGTTGCGGTTTATACCGGTTTTAACCTGTTACAAAAAAAAAAAATAAATATTTTAAAACTTTATGCGATTATAGAACCATACTAATACAACCAAAAAATATATATGTATAGGTACAGATAAATCTGGTAGTTTTCAACCAAGTCTAGGAATAGACAGCTCTTTAAACAATCAAAAACCGTATGGTAAGTGGTAACATTACATTCCAATTTAAAATTACAACTAATAAACTTATGCTTTATTATTTACATTTCACCTTAATTAACAATTATTGTTATCAACTTGTCATAACAAGAAAACAAAAATTATTTTCAACTCTCAATAATTTCGTTTAAATATTTTTGGATAGTACTCAGTATCGCTCAGCTATATTATAGTCTACAAACAGTACAAACTACAATCAATTATTATCAAATTATTAATAAAGTAAAGTATATATAATAATTTAATAATTAGACTGTGGATTGTATACTGCAGGCAATGATTTTTATTTTCCATTATATAATATAAAATATTCTTGAAAAGCATAAAATATAAATTAAATAATAAATAATGTCGAAAGCGTTACTTATAAATAAGAAAGTTATAACCGGCAAAAACCTTTAAAAACCGAAAAAATTGAACTTTAAAAATTAGGWTCGGGTTTTGGTTTGGTTATTTAAACATGTGGTTTTGGTTAAGTTACGGTTAGTAATTAACACAAGGTTCCCGGTTCTATAATCGGTTATTTTCTGTCCGGTTACAGTCCCTGCAGTGTATATAATATAAAATGCATATACAGCGTGATTCACCAAGAATCTCGTGGCCATTTTTATTTTGGTACCTAATGAATTAATTAAAATTCTTAGTTTCATATTTTTTAAGTATATACTCAAAGACCACTTATAGAAATTTTTGATTTTTTTGTGTTATTTGATAATRCTTTTTTTCTCTAAATCATTAAGTGAATATAAATCTTAAAAATATCTTTATCTATCAAATTCAAAATTCGATCGATTAGTTTTTCAGTTATTAAAAGTTTATGCTAATGATAATAGTCTTTAAAAATAATTTTACAATAATATAAAATATATGTAACATTGGATCTGGAATTATACTTGGCTTGGCTTTATTTTTACAAATTATTATCGTTATAAAACTTAAAATTTTAATTTAAAAATATTCCAAAAATCAGATTTTGATTTTTGAATAGCTGCATTATTGAATAAATAAAAGGGGTTGCTTGGAGAACCACTCTATACATATTTTTACACGTAACTGGTTTTTTGTGTCATATCTAAAAATAATATTAAGTATTTATTTAAAATACCAAGATACAGTGGTTCAAAATTTATTTAGAACTGTATTATCCAATTAAATATTGATTAGTCACGGTAATAAAGAAATAAAAGTAAAGTTTTTATTACATAAATTAATTTTAAACCACACTGGGGAAATAATACTACCTKCTACTATATTATCTTTAAGTCATTTTTAATAATAGAAGACCTGCATTTGGTTTTGATCGTACTGCTATAAAATGAGTCTACATGGCRAAAAATAAAACGATCAATCATGCTCTTTTTACGTCAGTAAAATTGATAGTTATGTATTATTTTTATTGATAGTTGTTGACATGTTGTTTAAAGGCAGTTTTGCGGAACGATGAAACGATTGATGTGTTCAGCAATACATATATATTGTATAAAACAGGTATTTAATTATGTTTTTGTATATGACTTATGATGTTATGTAAATTAGAGTAGCAAWAACAAAAAAAATAAATCGTAAAAATCGCAAAATAATTATTTCATCAARGAGCGGTGATTTCGGACAAAATATGTGACTTATATAATATGATATCGTTTAATGGCGTATAATAAATAATATGCTTGTTTTTTCGTCACACGGCGTAATGCATAGTCAAACTTAGTGCACCTGTGTCGGCGAGGTCGAACGGATGCGTGTCATATTATAATAATATTATAATGTGCGCCATTTAGTACTACACCTACCTAATAATATTATTATTAGGGTACGGATTTGTATCTAATAAAAATTCAAAATATGTTAATATTTATGTTATTATTTTTGGCAAAATATATATAAACAAAACAATTGTATGCAACATTAAATTTTAAAATTTTAATCACATAAAGTGAGGTAAAGTAAATAATATAAATATTTAATTTAAGTTACGGAACGAACAATAGCAAATTCAGTCACTAGAATACTAGATTGCCTATGGTGATATAAACAATTCAAATATTTATTTCCCTCAGAATATTGATTATCTCGTCAATATAATATTATATGTGCGAATGAATAAAATAATGTATACAAATACAAAACATTTAACGGAATAGATTGTATTCTTATTTGTTAATTTATTATACGATTATACGTATGAACAACAATAAAGTTAATGGATGAATAATAAAGTCCGCCGGATTGCACTCGCCGTATACATTATAGTAGTCTCGAGGRTGGCGACAACGACGATAATACAAAATACATTTTATATACATACTTTTTTATTTTGCATACCATTATGTATACGTTTACCGTGAAACCCACGCGCTCATGAAATAAAAAAACTCATCAATGGGCACAGCAGAGCGTAGGTATATAAATAGTAGTACTCGTGTGGATGCGAGCTCGTTCAAAGGGATTTTTCGTTTTGGCCGAAAAATAATATCACCTATATATTATATTATAATATTATTACATAGTTTACTGTATTTATTACGCAACGCGCCGCCGCAGATGATGTGATTTTCGTTAGGGGTGGCGGGAAACTGGAGGGTAGTCGTTTCCATTAATGGCAGCGGCGGATCGTCCGCTTCGCGCCGGCGGCACGGCTACTATATTATGCGTTTATCGTAATAATATAACCGCCACTGGAGTCGTGGGCGCATGCGCGTAATATCATTGACACTGCTGCTGCTGCCACTGCCGCCACTGCCGTGACGTCACGTAGCCCATTGCCATCGTGTGTATACAGGGTAATCCGCAGACCGTGCCCACCTACGCTCGATTTACTATTTGATTATAATAATATTATATACGTAAGTGCAATTACGTAGCCAGGGGGGCCACAGGGGCCATGTCCCCCATGGGCCTTATCATATGATATATAATATCATATAAAAATAATCATAAATGTATTCATTTTGACTMTGTATATAATACCGGTTGAGAGTATAATAATTTAAAAAAATGTAATGTTTATCAAAACACCGTAGATTGATAAGCGTGTCATTATCATCARTATTTTCCAAATATTTGGAAAATTAAAAACACTGTTATTTGAATGTTATTTATTTAATTTGTTTTGCCCCCCCCCCTTGTAGAAATCCTGGCTACGCCACTTCGTGTGTGGGAATTCAAGTTCTAATTACCGAACGTTTTACTGCTCCAGTTATTATATATAAATATGTTTTAAATTTTTATATAAGTACCTATGCGCCGCGTGCCGGTATGGTTAATGAATTTTTCAGAAGCCTTGTGCCACATATATAGGGTAATTTTTGTTTTTACTGCGAACCTTTTAGCAAATCACTTTTGTCTTATGATTTAGACGTATTGAGAGTGAAATTCGACTGATTCTGGAATTAATTTTTCTGCTCGAAACCCCAAGAGCAGCATATTATTTCTGCAATAAGTTATAAATTTAGTAAAGTAGACATAATATATCTAGGGTACTGCTTTATATATCTTCATTTTTTTAAAT